CCCCCGCCTCCTACCCCCCCCCCCAACCCCCTCGGGACCCCCTTTCCCCGAGCGTCCCGGCTTGGAGAGGTTCCAAGGGCGCGCGGTGCGCCCTAGGCGCGGCTGGCGTCTCCAAGGTCCCCTTTGCGCTCCAGCAAAGGGGGGTGGGGGAGAGGGAGACCCCCCCGGGGGGGATCCCCGCCCCCCCCCCCCCCCCCCCTCGATCTTGGGGTACCGTTGGTCAGGGGCAGCTCCACCGTCTCCTCCTCGGTGCCGTCCTCCATGGCCGAGCCGTCTCCCTCCTCTTCCTCCTCCTCCTTCCTTCCTCGCCTGTCTAGCGCTGCCTCCGCTCGCCTTACATGCTGCGGGCCGCACGCGCTTCCTGGTGCAGCGTCTTCTTCTCCTTCTTCTTCTTCTTCTCCAGGCCTGAGTCAAGAGGCAGGAATGCGAGAGCCCGGGCGAGAGGAGGAGAGAAAGCGCAGGCAAAAATTAAAATAAAATAATAATAAAATGCGGAGACCCGCCCCGGGGAGGGCTACGGGACCCCTTCCTCCCACCCACCCACTCCCCGAAAGTTGCCTGCAGTTGGAGAGGCAAAAAGGGCGCAGCGCCGGCTTCCTAGAAGCCCCCCCCCTCCTCCTCCTCTTCGCCAGCGCCGCAGGTTTTGGGGGGCAGTCGGAGCGCTTGGGTTTTCTTCTCCCCTTTCCCGTTTGCAGCCCCCCCTCCCTCTTTCCTCGGTGGGGGGGGAGGACAGTTTTGTGCCGCCAAGGGTCTTGCTTGACCCCTGGAAACAGGCACAGATATTTTCCTTCTGATCTAGAATATCTAGAATATTAGAGTTGGAAGGGGGGCCCTGGGAGGTCTTCTAGTCCAACCCCTTGCTGACAAACAGTGGTTTGTCTCTCTTTGAAATCCTTCAGTGAGGAAGCAAGGTATTAGTCAGAGAAGGTTGGGGAAGGGGGTTGCTGATTTGGGGAGGGGGCTGCCCCCAGAATCCTCTTTTCTGGGCCCAAAGTGGGAACTTAGGAGGGTGCAAAATGATCTGTTTTCATCTCCAATGCCCCCTAACCCTTCCTGCCCTCGGATGCCCACACCTGAAAATCTCGTTTATGCAGGAAAATAAAAAGCGAGCCCACAAGACAAGTTAAGCTACAACCTGGTGAAACTGTCAGGCCAGAGAAAGCCAGTGGGGAGGAAGGGAGGGAGGGGGACACATTATGGATGTGGAGAGCCAGGAGCACAAATGAAATTAATCGATCACTGGAACGATCCTGAAATTCCAGTCGATTTCCATAGGTGGCTTGTCTGTTTTTCTGGAGACTTGCAGAAAGCTTTATTGGTGTAGAGGTTGCTCTGTTCTCCATTCCCAAACATTATGATAAATAATGATTACTGTAGCCTAGGGATGAAATGCAGAGTCCTTGCTTAATCTCTGAGCTTGGTGGTTTTCTTGCAGACGTTTCGTTGCCCAACTAGGTAACATCATCAGTGCTAGAAGAGAGTGGGGTTTGTAGAGAGGAGGAGGAGGAAGACTGTGGAGGGAGGTGGGTCCTTGATGCTGTCTGAGCTTGGTGGTTTTCTTGCAGACGTTTCATGACCCAAACTAGGTAACATCATCAGTGCTACTGGGGTTTGCTGCAAATCTTCCTTGTAGCACTGATAATGTTGCCTAGTTTGGTAAACAAACATCTGCAAGAAAACGACCAAGTTCTAATCCCGCCTCTCTCATGAAAGCCAGCTGAGTGACTGTGCGCCAATCACCAAAAGACGGTGAGTTCTAGTCCTGCTTTCACCATGAAAGCCGGCTGGATTACCAGGGGACTCTGAGTTCAAGTCCCGCCTTAGCCACAAAAGCTGGCCGGGTGACTTTGGGCCAATTCCCAGGACGCTGTATGTTCTAGTCCCGCCTTAGGTGTGAAAGCCAATTGGATGACTTTGGGCCAATCACTTATCTCAGCCCAATCCACTTCACAGGGTTGTGGTTGGAGGTGGAAGGCGCGTTGCATATGTTTCTTGCCTTGACTTGTAAAAATAATTAAGGTGGGTGGGATACAAATTAAAAAAATAAGATGAAATAAATTTCTGGCAAAGTCACCCTACCAAAAGTTTGGGAAGAATTCACTGTCAAACCCCAGATGCTTGGACAATTTGATCATCTCACTTTCACGGCAAAATAAAGAATAAATAGGATAGAATAAAATACAGAATAGGAATAGAATAAGGAATGGAATAGGAATAGGAATAGAATAGAATAGAATAGAATAGAATAGAATAGAATAGAATAGA